CTTGTTGACTTGGATTACTTTCCTGAGGGAAAACAAAGAGACTTTGTTGCATAAAATAATAATAATAAAGTGAAAATTTGATCATATTCCATTTTTTATGCAACTACTATTTAGAACCACTTGTTTGATCAATTCTAAGGGAAGACAACAGAGAGAGAGGGGAACATGCCAGATGCTTTTTGTTTTCATACAAATCCCTTTAAGCAAAATTTCAAACCCATGATGATGATGATGATGACGACGATTCCCCTCTGGCATTTCCAACGGCCATTTTTGTATATATTAAATTTTTTTCTGTCGAATGTGTGAAATTTGATTTGAACTCTCACCCATTTGATTATATTCGCTTGGAAGAATATTTTTTTTCTTTTTTCAAACTTTTGTCGTCTGGTTGGAATCATCATCATCATCATCATCATCATTCGATTCTTTTTAATATAAATTTGGGGATTTTTTGCTCTTCTTCCCTCTTCCCTCTCCTTTTCTTTTCACATTCATTCCTTTTCAAGGTTGTTAGATATACCTGTAAGAGTTTAAGTAATAATTTCGTCTTTTTATCATTTCATTATCAGTTTTTTATCATTTTCTTGTCATGACGTCATAACTTACTTCTTAACACCAGTCACATATGTACCAAATCAATCAATCAATCAATCATTCCAATTTCATTCCAGGTAGCGAATAATTCTTCAATTATGTAAAATTTAATAAACAAAAAATTTTCTAAAATAATTTAATAAAAAAATTTAAATAAAAACGAATTCTGGGAGTAAAAGGGATAGAAAGGAAGAAAAAGAAAGGGAGAGAGTGAGTGAGAGAGAGAGAGAGAGAGGGAGAGAGAAGGGGGAAAAAGTAATTGATATTGATTGTTACATGTGGTAAATGTACAATTTACATACGTTTTATTATCGTTTATTCCGATTGTTTTGATTTTTCCCATTTTCTTCCTCGAAGAATGACGTCACTAAAATTAATTTTCCTTTTTTCTTTCCTTTCTTTCTTTCTTTCTTTCTTTTAAACAGTTTTTAAATTATTCTTTTGATGCAATAAGCGAACGTGCATTAAATTTATGCAACGCAATAACATGCCGGTTAATAAATAAATAAATAAATAAATTCGATTATTTTTTTTTTTATAAAACTAAATTAGTCGACGATTAATTTAATGTTGTGACTAAACAAAGGATTCTAAAAAAAAATTAAAAAATTATTAAATAAAACAAAAACAGCAACTACAACAACAACAACAACAACAACAGCAACAACTACGTAAATAATCAACAACAATAATAATAATTAAAATAATAAAAAGCATATAAATTTTTTCTCGTGCTCCAAAACAAAACTACACAAGCTACAAAAAAGCGTTAAAAAACGAACACAACAAAAAAACCGTTAAAAAGAACCGGAAGTAACAATTTTCAAAAAAAAAATTAAAGTTTACAATTTCCGGCGTACAACAACAAAAAAAAAAGAACCAAAAAAAAATTCCGAAAAATATTTGAAAACAAAAACAAAAAAAAATTATAATCGCAATTTTTAATTATTAATGTTAATAATAATAATAATAGTAAAATGTTTGAAAATAAAACTTTTAACATTCATCAACAACAACAACAACAACAACAATAAAAAAAACAAAAACAACAACAACAGCTAAAAATTAAAATGATGATACTAGTAATAATAATAATGATAAAACAATTAAAAACTTTTTTAAAAAAAAAAAAAAAAAAAAAAAGAAAAAAAACCGCGAAATAAATTTAAAATTTTAATTTTATTATCACCATTCGTATTATCGTGACACAAATTATACACGACGAAAAAATAATAATAATAATAATAATAATAATAAATAAATAAATAAAACAAAAATAAATAAAAACAAAAATAAAACAAAAACAAAAATAAAACATAATTTATATATATATATATATGTATATTATCATACTAAAAAATGAATAGATAGCAGTAGATAGATTAGATAGATAGATAGATAGATAGATAAATTAATAAATAAAATAAATAAATAAATAAAAACTATTTTTAAAAAAATATAAATTCTTACGCAAATCAGAAAAAAAAAGTAAATAAATAAATAATTTTTTATACAAAATGATAGACTGAATGAATGAATGAATTCAATCAATCAATCAATCAGTGAAAACGATGGTACATCAATAAGTTTATCATCATTATTTGTTATTAAGCGTTTTAGTTTATTTTTAAAAATTTAAAAACGTGGTTGGTTACACGTTGCGCGTGATTATTTACGTTTATGCGAATTCTCGTCAATATTTATATTTATTAAAAATAATAATAATAATAATAATAATAATAATAATAATAATAATAATAATAATAATAATAATAATAATAGCAGCAGTAATGATAATAATACTTTAATATTATTTATTTTTTAAACTAATTCGAAAAAATAATTCGAAAAAAAAAAAAAAAAAAAAATTTATATAGTTAAAATTACATTAGGATGTATATAAAGCTTCGAAAAAAAAAAGATAATAATAACAATAATAATAATAATAAATAATAATAATAAATAATAATAATAATAAAGATGAGAATATAAAATAAATA